AATAGTAGATGGGCTTCTAGTGGTAAAGAACCCACCTGCCAATTCAGGTTAGATATAAGAGATGTGGATTTAATTCCTGGGTCTGAAAGATCCCCTGGAGGAGGACATGGCCACCCACTCCAGTACTCTTGCCTGGAGAATCCCATGGAGGGCTAGTCCATGGGGTTGCACAGAGTCGGACATGACTGAACTGACCTAGCATAAATAGATATGATTTGCATACAGAATAACAAACTACTATTTATATTTATCACATATAACCTATATAGTAGCTTATTAATTAGATTTTTGACTACACTGTAATTTTTCTCTAAATCATCAGAGTCACTGTCTAATTTTAAGTTAGACTGCCTGAATTGTAATTCAATTTATGTGAGTGATTTTTTCCTTCCTGTTTTGGGTCTCTGCTAGCTACACCCAACCATTCCTAATACTGCCTGTCAGGAGTCACACTGATCATACTGACAATATCACTCTTTGATATTCATTGACTTGCTAAATGCTCAAACTGCCAAACACTGTGCTAAGAGATGGAACAAGAAGATGAAAACACGAGGTCCTGTTTTTTAAGGCTCTCACTATCTGGCTATCAGATCAATAACCAGTGCAAAGAGGTCTGTACAAAGTTCCTGTTGGAACAGAGACTGAAAAAGGCACCATCTCTGCCTGGGGCGTGTAGCAGGGCAAGTTCTAGGGTGAAGAGAGATTACATTTTAACATGGACGGTCATGTTTACACTTCTTAGCAGGACCTGCGAGATCCTTCATTATGTGTCCCTTGTCTACATAGACAAAATCATCTCTTGGTTTTTCTAATAATCCAATATAACTGAAGTTTCCTAGATAACTGTGCTTTCCTAAAATCCAAATATTTGCATAAAGTAGTAAACAAGAGCAAATACCTAGGTTTGTGTCAGGCAGGATTCCAATCTTCAGAGTAAATAGGTAGGCATCACTATTGTGCCCATTTTACAGATGGGGAAACTGAAGCTTAGACTGAAGTTCAGAGAGGTTAAGTCACAAAGCTGGTGGATGACAGAGCTGGGTGAGACTGCTTCCAAGACCTTCCCTATGTGGTCATCTTCTACTGGGTCCTGAAACCCCTGCTGGCACCCTCCGCCTCCACCACCCCACCTGGCGTCCATGTCTCTCCCATGCGCTATACCTGTCTCAGCCCCGCTATCATCTTCATTGCCCGTCTCCCCAGCAGACGGCTGTGTCCATCATCACTGCGTCTCCACTGTCTGCAGCACAGCAGCCGCTCGGCCAATGTGTCTGCATGAACACCAACACTGATTCAACTTGGAATATCTTGAACAAAGGAAGATTCAGAACCTAAATACAGCCAAAGAATTCCTTCTTCCGGGAGGAATCTGGGGCAGGGGGAGGGTTATCGGTCACAGGGTCTGCCAGCACGCAGTGTTGTGGGGCTACGTCTAGGAATGCAAGGTAAGATAGAGGCCAGCCCCTGTCCTCAAAGAGCCTTCAGTATAGAGGGAGTGGGTGCCAGCCCAGAGACTGGACAGCTTACAGCACAGCTGGGAACAGAGACCCTGGATTATAGTGGATGCTGCGCAATTGACTGCAGCCGCCGGGCTGGGAGCCTCCACAGGGATCTATCGCCTGAGCCTGAGCATCTTCCTCGGTAAAATGGAGAGGACAGTCACCTTTTTACTGTTGTGAGGATTCAATGCAAGTGATTCAGCACAGGTTACAAGTTGGTTGGCAACTTGTAACCAATCTAAGTCACACGTTATCAATACTAAAATGAGGAAGTGTAAAAGCATGCTTTTTCAGAGAGCACAGCAGACTGTGGTTGAACTGGTGAAGACATCGTGGAAGGATGGGCAGGCACGGCTTCCAGACGCAAAGGCCCAGAGACAGGAAGTGCTGGTGGGTCAGGCCACCACCTCCATCCGTGCTGAACTATCCTATACTTGAGGGTAAGGTCCATGTCCTACAGACCTCAGGGCTCCTGGTGCCTCATGTGTGTCTGGCGGAGAACTCAGTAAACGAATCCTGAGTGGGGAGGCTACGAGGATGACGTGGGAAGGATGCGGTGTGCACGGAGGGACAGGACAGAACCAGGCTGCAGTCTACAAGTCTTGGCTGTTGAGACAGGGAGGAATGAGGCTCAGCAGAGTATATGCTGAGTAAGGGAAGCCCTCGAAAGCCAAGCAGAACCGTCCAAGAGCATCCTGGTGGCTCCTGACCTCTCTGCATCACAACCCCTTTCTACAGTCCAATGGATCTATGGTTTCTTTAAGAAAATGAAAATAAACATAAAATTGAACAATTTCTATGAACAAGCTCTGAAGACTATCCATTGATTTACCCCTCCAGGAATCTGTCCATAATTTCTGATTAAAGAGGCCTACACTTACTATTCAAGATGCCAATTCCTAAAAACAACACCAACTTAATAAAAACTTACTAAAGAAAATAGTGGAAAAATTTCAATGTAACATCATAAATTGAAAAAATGTTTTATTCACATTCCCTTTCTGTACAAGAAAAGAGGCACCAAACAAAAGAGAACCCCAAACACTTATTCTGATTTATGAGAGTGAAGAGAACTATTTTCTTCCTAAGAATAATTGGCTAATTTTGGTGATTAAGGAGAAGAAAAAGCGCTCCTATTCACCATGTATATGAAACGTGTATTTGACTTCAATAATGAAACCCTACATTATGGTATCACCTGCCAGCCTTCACAACACTCCGAACACCACCTTGCTTAATGCTCAGAACAACTGCAGGAGACGAGGAATGTCCCCATTGTGCTGACAGCTGAAACCAGACCATGTCACTCGGCGACGGGCAGGGCTCACACACTCTCTTACAAGTCAGATTCTCTGGGATGTCAGGGCCCATGCAGCATTCCTGACAGTTCAGGAAAAAACAAGAATAACTGAAAAGTGAGACCAGATTAATGGTCTCAGATTAATGATATCTTTCTTTCACGATCCCTATTGTTTGAATTTTATGAAACAATTTTATCAAATACTTTGCAATATTTATCTTCTTAAAAGCAAAACTTTGTTTTGCAAAACTCAAAGTAGAAAAGGACACACACACGAAAATCATACTTTCACAAGCCTAAGGTAATTATTGTCCAAAATTTCCAGCACATCTGTGTCGTATTATGAATATATACAGAGAGAATATATACAGTCTTTAAAAAAAAAAATGGGGATCACAGTATCAATAGGTTTGGGAAACTGCTTTTTTTCCACTTGAAACTGAAAATTTTTTCGTCTACCGACCAGCTGGTTACACTTTCACTGAGGAGGGAGCAGAGTTACTTACACACTGCGGCGGCCGAGCCTCCTAGCTCAGGCCTGACTGGGTCTGACTGGCTTCCATTCTGCAAGTTAATTTGCCACTGTCACTATGTCACTAGTTGGTAGTGGAAGAAGTGCGTGGAAGAGCGTGAGACCGTCTTAGTCCTCCAAGCACATCAAAGAACCGGAACAAGGACACTCACCTGTGTCCGCCGGACCAACGCCGCCTTCCTTTCACTTTCCAAGATGGCTGACATTCCTAACAAAAGAAAAGACCTTTTTACTCAAAGAGAAGGCAGTCCCTCAGGAAATAAAAATCAAACATTTTATACAATCTACAGTTTAAAAAAAAACTTAGGCCAAATGATTAAAGAAAAACTTTATTAAATATTTGTCAGTTTTAAGAAGTGCCCTCAATTACTAACCAAATAATGTATTACAAACAACTAGTTATGAGGTTTTACATTTGTTTAACAGGGTATAATTGGCCCCAATTAAACTGACTAAACTAAGGCTTTTTAGATTACTAAAACAAATTAAACTTTTTAAAATGAGAATTTAGGTGATCTTAAAACCTTTCTAAAATGGATAATGAAACTTGCTAAGTTGTAACCTCCCTGGCTTTATTAGTTATATTAAGATAAATTAAGTGAGATTAAAATCTTATTTGATTTATTTACCTTTGAAAATGAAGACCGTTTAAGGGTTACAGATCCTCAGCCTTGTCGGGTGCGACCTCAATTAGTCAAGTCAGAAAGTCTTTAAAAGCTTTGTGCTTATTGCTTCCAGCATGGAGCGAGGTGTCCATTAAGGTACCAAAAGTCTCATAAAAAATCCAAAGTTGCACTAGTGAAAAAACGCTCAACAAGATGAACACTGATCACATCTTTTCCAGAAAATCAGTAGTTATTTTAAAACCAGTTTTTAAACAAGATTAGGTTTTGCGTAGTTTTAACGTGCCATTCAAGCAGCTGGACACCATTTGGACTCTTTAAACAGCATTTAAATCTACGGTGAGTATATAATGGTACATTTAGTTTTATACCATGTTTTAAATAAATTGTACAATGTTTAGTGTGACCCTTTTTTGACAAGCATTGTTAGATGAATCTTTTCCCTGTTTACAACTATTTATGAAGGCCTTTTTAAATAAGAGAGACATGAAATTGTTAGCTCACACACACAAAATTTCTTTCAAAAGTTTATTTAGTATCAAGCAAGAGGAGACTTTGCTTAACACTACAGAACATTTCAAGACTTGAGTTACAAAAGAATACCACATTATTTGCACTTGTAATTGGCTTCCCTTTTTACGCATGTTGGCAAGAGAAAAAAAAAATAGCATATGGCCAAAAGATAAAATAACTAAATTTCTATGGAAACCTTTAAAATGAAAGGTGAGGCTTATGTTAAAAGGATGGATTAACATATTTAGTAAACCTATCTTTTTTGTTTAACACTAGTTAATCAAAGTTATTTTTTTTTTCCTTTTGATTACCTATTTTTCATATACAGACTGGAAATAACAAAATTTTACAAGTTTTTTTTTTTTTTTTCTGCCCAGGTTGATGTTTCAACAAAGTAGTTTTAAATTCCATCCATTCAGATTTTAAGCATTTTGATTTATTTAAAAAGGGATTGTTCATAGAAAAAAATTACTTTGAACAGTATACAGGACTGGTGGAGACTGGCTATGTCACAACAGCAGACAGCACAATCAGTATCTGCCGTACGGCTGGTCCCTGTAGACGCCCTTCGCGGTCCTCGCCGGGGGGGCCTTGTGTCTCGAGTTAGTCCACTCCTCTTGCCCTAAAGCCAGTCAGACGAATCACAGTTAGATCAACGTCAGAGAGCCCACAGCTTCATTTTGCAGAATCTAACTTAGCCCTGAACCCATGGTAGATGTCATACTGAAGATATAAATCCCCAAGGTACTAAAAAATCTGAGAGAGTTCACTGTAAAAGAATTACAAACACAATGGAAGATGTTCATCTCACTAGCGAAACCTACCAGCCTGGGAAGACATGATCCTTGTATCTTAAATGACAGCCAAGTTTGCAAGAACTTCCTTTTGGTCACTCGTCTAATAAAAGCTCACACACTCCAGCAGCAAATTGAGCTGCCTCTTGCTAAACGTGCAGACATCTATGCATGGGAAAAGGGTCACCTGGGGTTTCTTCTTCAAAGACAAAGAAAACACAGATAAAAATCTGTGAAGGCAAAAGGAGAAAAATACTGGAGTGCAAAATGGCAATGGGCAGTTTGGGAAATATAGCTTTGTTCTTCATGGGTCCTTCATATAAAGAAGGAAGGAAAGCTGTACTGGGTAGAGATTTATGTTTCCAAAATACTTCCTGGATAGGAAATAATCTCATGACATAACGTCAAATTGCATGCATCCTCATACTAACTCCACACGGAACGAGGGATTTCCAACAGAGGACCCTGGTTCACCCCAGCTCAGGGCTGTCAGTGAATCACTTGAAGGTCTTTGACAACAAATAGTTAACATTTATGCTGCAGCACACAGCGATTTAAAAGCCATGTATCCACAGAGACCAATTTTAAAAAGCTGTGAGGAAAAATACTTAAAATGACCTCTTCTTTGATACAAACATGCAATCAACGTCATTCCCTCAAGCTAACTTGCATCAATTTAAGTAGACAGCATTCAACAAACCAAGGTATGTCTCTTAAGTGTTTGTTACGAATAACGACAAAAAAAATCCAAGGTGCGGTCATCAAGGCTTGGGGCAGGTGATATAACAAAATGCACTTCAAAAGGAACAATGGAAAATGGTTTTTCAGTTATGTTCAGAGAAATGTCATAACATCCATTAACGAGAATCCTGACTCACTTGCGCTGGGCATGAGGCACTCAGCGCCTTGCAGCTGACTGAAGCTTTGTGCTCTCTGATCTCTGCGCCCGCAGCAAAGGAGGTTCTCAGTATCATTAAGTTGCTGCAGCCAATTCTTTTAATTAAACCTGGCGTCCTTCTGCATATTGAGGCTCTGGACGTGGACTCCCCAGCACCTCGGGCAGCTCCCACTGGACTCAGTGGGGTTTCACTGTCTCCCTGTAAGCCTGAGACAGCCATCCATCTCCTCCCTGTCCCAGTGCTTCTGTAACCTTTAACGAATGACTCCCACTGTAATGTTTTTAGAGGAACTGAGATTGGGAATAAATTAAAATAAAAAGATGGGGGTGGTGGAATCACCACTATAGCAACTGAGAGCTGTAGTCTCAACTGCTTCATTTTTCTTCACTGTCAAGAAGCAAAGACACTTCAGAGAGACTCATTCTATCAAGTGTCTGCAGTTTGGCAAACTATTCAAGTAAGTGAGAAAATCAGCACATTGCAATCAACCCAAACAGAAAATCTAGGTTCAGAATCTGAATGCCTGCAATTTTATGCAAGTCTTTAGTCCCCTTTAAATATTAAGTTTAAACCTTAGAGAGCTTCTGAGAATAGCTGGATAAGCACAGATGAACTGAGAGGCAGCGGTGGTCTAAAATTCTGTCTGTATGAATCTCCCCACAGTTAAGTGCTTTAAGGTGTTTCCGTGACCTTTCTACTTATGGTTCCACTCCAGCCATTTACTCACCATAGGAATCATAAGTTTCTTCACTGAGTCCATGTCCATAATCATAGTAATCAGCACCACTGCATGAAACAAAATGCACAAGCAGAGAAAGACAAAAACACAGTTAGGACAAACTGACTTGGCTGTGAGTTTAAGTCACACTTGATGAAGTATCTGAAACTTAAAGATAACTGCTAAAGGCAGGGCTAAAAGCTGAACAGAGTTCCCACGGAGAAAAGCGATCTTATCAGGAGTATCATCGGCCCCTCCTGTGGTCGCTGACTTGAATTCACAGCAAACGTTGTCTGACACTGAACCACCACGATCAGCCTGTCCGTGTGGAGAGCGCTGACAGCGCCTGAGGAGGACGCAGTCTCTTCTGGGCGGAAGCGTGGTCTGAGAGGGCACGCGTATGCAGTGGACCCAGGCTGGGCTCGTGCAAGGGGTCGGGGTGGGGGGATGCATGTGCAGGAGGAAGGGCGGCCATGGCTTCTTTCCCACCGACACCGAGCTCACGAAGGCACAGCCCTGTGGAGCAGACGCGGTGATGCTGGGCGGGCCCCAGGCACTGGGCTTTACAGGAAAGCAACACGGCTGTGGGGCGGCATGTTTCACCTCCCCAGCACCGCCCTGCTACCATCAAGAGCGGCCGCTCAGCAGAGGCTGGGGATGGTGGGTGGGAAAGGCCCCTGGGTCCAGTCACCCGCCCTGGCCGAGCCTGTGGGGACAGAGGCACACGCGCTGCCATCCTGTATTCTGACGCGCGATGTCCCTGAGACCTGGGAGGGAGGGATCTGTCACCATGGCCATTCTGTAGATGATGCAAAACAGGCTACTTACACACATAACATGTGTGAACTAGGCGTAACCTTTACAGGAACCAATCTGGGGAAATCTGGATGACGGGACTATGGCCCACACAATCAGCTTCTCACACTACTCTGGGTGTCTGAGGAAGGGCTTCCACCCACTCTCCCTGGCTTCCCCTTTCCCACTCCCCTTAATTTTGTAGGGAAACAATCACCCTGAATTTGTTATCTTGGATCGTCCTGGGATAAACACTCTCATTATTCCAACTTGATGCAATCAAGCAAAGAAGTTCTAATCAGAATGGAAAACAACCCAGCTGAGCTGCTTAGCACCAGAGGAAGCACGGAGTGAATAATACAGCCCACGATGGGGCGTGCCCTGTGCCAGCCCCGAGACCCCCGGGCAGTCGCTGCCTCCCCCTGAGGTAGCAGAGCTGTCCTGTCCATTGTACAGGTAAGGATGCTGTAGAGAACAGCTGGGGTGCCAGCCTAACATCCCGCAGACAGCAGGCAGGGGACACACCCAGTTAGGTCCACACCTTGCTCTCCTCCTACGTTTCACTTCTCAAGCCCAGGTGAATGTGACCGGAGACGAACCATCAACTCCTCGGATGACAGCACAGGGCGGCGAGCCCCGGGAGAGTGGATGGGGATGGGAGCTGCGGGCTGGTCTCACGCCTGTGGGGACGGGCCTTCACCTCTGCCCTCCTCTGCCAGAATGGTTCCTCTTGGCCTTTGCTCCCAGGCACCTCCTACCCAGTCGTTAGCCCAAATGCCACTTGTAGAAGCTGCAACTCAAAAAGGTTACACTGCCTGTCCAAGGTCACACTACTTCCAAATGGAAGAACAGGTGCACAGCTAAGTGCACCTTTACTCCACAGCCCGAGCTCTCTGTCCAAGGGCACGCGTCCTGAGGCACCGCATGCTGTCTCAGGCGCCGGGGTCTGCAGGAAACCCAAAGCCAGTGGATCATGGCGAACTGTAACCGTCTCAGTTCCCTCTGGTCTCCAATGCCTCCTCTCCCTTTCTGTAGCCCTAGTTTTCCATCCTAGTATTATATACATTTATGGCAGGAAGAGAAGAGGGACTAGCTGAGTGAGGAACAGAGAGACATTCGTATTCAAGAAGGAAAAAACTTAGCAAAAACAAGCAACAACAGCAAAATATGGCCTCCATACTCTTAAAGTTTAACAGTTTTAAATATGAGAACTGCTATTAAACAATACTTTCCTCATCTTGTAGATAGAAATTCAGAAGGGAAACTTTTGATAAAATGCTACTGTCAAACAAGGGTCAAGAAATCTGACTCTAAACCCGGGCCTCCCAGCACGGACAGTCTTGGGGCAGTTGTCCACCCACCTGCTGAGTCCGAGTGCCCCTCTGCCTGCCAAATCCCACCACACTAGATGTCCCCCAGACCCTGGGAAGCCCTAACGGTCTCAGTGCCTCACGTATAGCATCTGGACACAGCAGTCAACATACTTTCTCATTTTGTTGAAAATAAATTGGCTACTGCTTCTTAGAAACTCAGCATTAAATTAAGTGAACCTCAGTCTTCTTTCCAAAGGTCAGAAGTTACATCATAATGGCTCCTTAGACAAAGTGGTAATGTTCTTCAAAATCGCATCTTTGCTGCTCAGAAAACAATGAGTGACCTCTTCATAAAACTGAAGAATCACCTTTACTGAGACAGGTCCACCGTAAGTGACAGATACTGAGACCAGTATACAGGAGAAAAGCAACTGCCTTCTGACTAAACAAAGTCCCCTTGATTAAATGCAGTGAGCAGTAATGAGCATTGGGGAGGACTGGAAATCCACTTGGAAGTGCTCTCACATAGACCAGCATTAAAAAAAAAAAAAAAAAATCAGGGTGACGAATGTTTCCCAATGAACAGCAGGATAAAAGGAAACATAATTTGGTCGGGTGATGGTTTGGTGATAAGACAATCTTAGTTTTGACAACTGAAAACTTTAAACTGACATTTTTTATCATTTCACTCAGTTTCTGATTATTTATTTCAAGACTGTCATCAAGCCAAGCAGCTGGGAGCAGCTGAGCCCCATTCTCATACCTGTCAGTTCCATCTGAATTGCTTTTGCGGCATTTCATTTTGTGCACCTCCAATGTCTATTAACCCAAGATGTGTCCTATTTCCCAAGGATAAACTAAAAACCCAACATAAGGCAAAGGGAGAAGACTCTAAAAATTTCTTCATTTATGAATACAACTTACAGTATTAATAATAAGCAAGAAAACACGATAGCTTGACTATGCCTTTTCTCCATCAGAAGGGGTCAATAAAAGTCCTTCCTTCAAGCGGTCCAGAGTAAGCGCCTCTCCCGGCACCAACACCGTGTCTCCCAGGCCTACTCTCTGTCCTCCACGTTCTACCCTGTATCAGGGGTAGGAGGAAGTCCAAAGGCTCAGTGTAATTCCTGGCTTTCCTGGAGGTTCTCGATCCATCAACTGGAGTCAAGAAATAGGCCCAGCGTTGGGAGGAAACACAGGGGTCATGGGGCACACTGTAGCACTGGGACCACGCCCACGTGCCCCCCAGTTACGGACAGGTATTCAAAAGGAGGCCAAAAATGAGCTCCCAGATCACCCTGTCTCCGCAAACGGGACTAAGAAGGAACTCGTAGCATGAATCTGTCTGGTTTCTACCTCTTCAAGCCTCTACATGAATTTCGATGGAAAAGTCGCTGGGACTCATCTCATCAGGCCCTTGGCTGGTCATGTGCAGCTCAAGGAACTCTGGATCACTAGTTACTCTTTGTCTCCAGTACTTGTAAAGCTCTGCCCATCCCCTTCTGTCCCCATCTCCATCACAATTCTATCTGTGCCCTCCGAAAGTCATGGCTCATCACACATCCTCCACCTCCTCTTTAGACACTCCCTTACCTTCTTCCTCAGTGAAAGCTCGGTTCTCCTCTAACGACACCTCTCCCTTAGGAGCCCTCTCCTCTCCTCTATCCCGCATGGCCCATGAGCCACTAGGACAATAGGAAGGTGAGTATTCTCTTAACAACCGCCCCCGCCATTGCCACTTGGAGCCCATTACGCTCCACTCCTCTGCACAAACACCCAGCTTTCAATCTCTCAATGGCATCGCTGTCCTAAGTCCTGGTGTTTTCTGTATGCAGGCAGATACTCCTTCAAACACGTTGGTCTGCTGACTCTCTGGACCACTCTTTCCACTGATCTTGCCTCTAGTCTCCTTTTACCATCAGCTCCCAGGTCACGCCTTAGTTCCTGTCACATCAGTAAACCCTTCTACCCGCCTTGCGTCAGCTTCATGCACTCCATCCTCTGACCATGGCTTCCGCTCTCCAGTTTCACTCCTGTCCTCTAGTAACATGCTGACCCTCCTTGGCAGCATGCTGTAATCGTCCCACTACTGTTGTTACATTTTCATCCCTTGTCAAGGAAACCAGTGAACTTTAACCTGCTGGATTCGGTGGTCAGTTCTCAGGTCTGCTGTGTGACTGGGCAGGAGGTGTGACACAGCTGGTCACACAGAGTGGACACCCCGAGGGGATGCAGCCTGGTTCCCATGGAGGCACACTCTGGTCCAACGAAACAGCAGGGCAGTACAACAGGAGCGGAGGGACCCAGGGAGGCAGAGGCGGTCATGCAGACCATGGAGAGGCTTGGTTTCTTATTTTTATCCTGAGTAAGATGGCTCCAGGGAGAAACGTCCCCATAATGAAGTTTGCCATTACCTGAGATGGGGAAGATGGAGGAAGAAAGAGCTCTGGGCGGGGAGCTGTCAGGAGTCTGGCCTGGGACAGGCTAAGTTGCATAGGCCTCTTGGACCTCCCAGAGCAGTTGGAAAGAGAAATCGAGAGGCTGGGGAAGTGGTCTGAACTGGAGACATAAGTCTGCAGTCCTCGTCGTGTGAAAGGTACTCAAAACCCAGAGACAGCACGTGCTCCCTCCGGGGACACGTGAAAGCAGACAGAGCTCGGACTGTGGAGTAAAGGTGCACTTGGTTCTGAACCTGTTTCTCCATTAGGAAGTACTGTGATCTTCAACAGGAAGCATAATCTTTTTGAGGGGCAGCTTCTACAAGTGTCTGAAACACAAGAGGTGCTCAACAGAAGCACTGGCAGGAATGAATGAACGGTGCGTGCCGCTCAGGGTGAGGGCCACACCGGTGTCCTCTGACAGGGCGACAGCGGGGCCACAACGCAGTGAGCTCAGGCAGAGTCTCTCTCACTGGCTGGACACTTCCTCTGAACCAAATAAAGAGCGGCGATCAGCTTTAA